TCGAGTCGATTTAGCAGACCTAGAACTCAACATAAAGGAAAGCGCTATTGTTCGGGGGAGTGTTCCACAAAGTATTCAACAAAATGGTCCGCAACCTTATTTTGCKMSCGGCAAAAAGACCGTGMGAACAAGAAAGCCATTAATGGGAGCACCAGTTTCAGTTTCAAAAACAGCGAGTCATTCCAGGATATGCTGACACTAAGTCTTGATGACATGAACGCCGAGTCATTGATTTTTTGGATGGTCAAATTCATACAAGACGAGGCGCCAAGAAAAACAAAGAAGCTTATCCGACGTTCGAGTAAATCGCGAGGAAACGAAACGGCATAGCTACAATATTGATTTTTCAGTGTGTTTAATTGTGTTTGATTACACGCGAGTTTAGACATTTTGAATATTTTCAGGGGAGTGCGAGGCTGATTATTACTCAACGTTTTCCTGATACAGACCTAATTAATAAAACATTAGTTCTGTATCACTGATACAGAACTAATGTTTTATTAATTAGGTCTGTATCAGGAAAACGTTGAATGATAATCAGCCCCGCACTCCCCTGAAAATATTCAAAGCCGCCCCCAACTTTGAGCTTGCTGCCACTTTTATCCAATATAAAGGTATAATCACGTGATTAGATTATCAGTATATCATTGGCTAATAACATTATGAATTATTAATGAGTTTGATAAAGTAATATAAACAGATGATTATCAATTAATGAAGAAATACTAATTTTGATGAAATTTATAATTAATGTTAAGTGATCAAGTGTATAATGAAAAACACAACTGACTACAACACAAAATCTGGAGTGGGACTCACTTACTTCGTCATTAAATCAAATCATCTGAAATCATAGAAATGCGTGATTGCTAGTGTGCCGTATTTCCAACTATGGTGACAGTTAATAAAATATAGTACAATACTGTTAAAGAATATTTCCCAATAAATGCTTAATGTGTCAACAGCCTGTGAAGTCAAGGGAAGTGCAGCTGGAACAGAGTTGAACTACTCCCCTGCACCACAATCTGATGATCAAGATTTCAATGTAGAAGGTAATTTACCAAACTTTAAGCTGTTAATTATAAAGCTAGGCCAGGTTAAAAGGAAATTATGCAAGTATAAATTGAGATGGATCAAGCCTACATTTTGTCAAATGAAGTATTCAATGTTAATGCAAGAGATCATCTTGGATAATCAGAATAATAAGTAAAATGATTGATATATTTACTATTATATTAAATTATAAATGCCATTTTTCTAAGCTCCATTTAAATTATATTGTAATGCTTCATGACCTCACAGAAATACGTCCAGTCAACAAATATAACAATTTGACTTTGTTTTCTTTCTTAATTTAAAGGCAGAAGCAGCTTTACCAAAAAATTAACATGTAGTGATGCTGAAGCAAAGGGGCTGAAAATGTACTCTGACAAAGAAATACGTCAAGCTTCTTCAGAAATGGAAAGACGTTACAGAGAATTCTGGAACGAGAAAGGTAATCAGCTTTGCAGAGAGCCAGCAACCAAGCACAAAAGCAAGAGTGCCCTCCATGGCATCATAGATGTTTCTTGGACTCTACGCAAGACCACTCTACTGGAGTCTATGGTAAACATTACAGTCAATGAGGAAAACGCAGTCATGGAGGAGAAACCGGGAAAAGGAAAACAAAAGAAGAACACATTAGGAAAAAATCTGGACAGAATGAAGTCTGCGCATGCTGAGGTTGTGTCACTGGATGAAGAGCTTATCCAGTTGAAGAAGGATAAGAATAGCAACAGAGCCCAGGCCACAACAAAAACTCTTCTTGATGGTGCGTACACCAATCTCAAAAGGGCCCAAGAAGCTCTTTCAAAAAGTATTAAGCAAAGGAGAAGACAGATTGAGCAAGAGTTGAATAAAGCAAAACATGCAAATGATGATGTGAACAACCCTCAAGGATGTTAAGGCCAGGTTAAGGTCAAAATATGATGCAAACTTTGAAAATTCATAAACTGACTCAAAACATAAATTTAACGACACAAAATTCAATACATTATTAGAATTTCGCATTTAGTAAATCCTTAAGACGAAAGCATGTCCCAAAAACTGACCACGTGAACAACCACATGATGGGCAAGTTTTGAAGTTAGATTAAAAATGTGCTCGCCAAAACAAAAAAAAATGTACCTATCTTCAATGTTGGATCTTGTCAAACTCTTTTCATTTAGGAGATATTTAGGAAAATGGGTCACCTGACCATTCCTCGAAAGTATGTTTTCTTGATTTGCAAAATATTTATAATGTTAAGACAATCATCGAAAGCGACATCTTTTTTCAATGCCAATCCAATAACTATTAAACACCAAAATGATTTCCTTTTGTTTTAAACTCACGAGTGCATTTTAAAAATGTTAAATTTCTAGCCTTAAGGTCACGTGACCACTTGATGTCAGTATTGAACACATTAAACTGTCAGGAACATTAAATGAAAATTTGTGTCAAAACATGAATACAGTAGAAGAGAATCATATCATCAATCAGTTATGCACGAAAAGACTTTTTTCACAATAGCCTCTGTGAACCAGGCCTTAACATACTTGAGCCCCTAAAAAAAGTTTCASTTCAGAAAATGCAGATGCTAGCAGAATACAAGTTGTAATAGACCCACATGGCATTTGTACAGCTGCATCATAATGATAGTACAGACTTAAATTATTTCACAGCATTAAGTTTTTATATAGTTAGTGTTATATTTTTTCTCCATATTTGGAATATTAGAAGTTTCCAATGGACTCTGCAGTTTCCCTCCAATTTTGCTCTYTCCGTCAAAATGTTTGTCACTCATATGGGACTGAGCCCATTGTAGCTTGAAAAATTGAGAAGAGAAAACTGCACAGTTACAGAATCAGTCTAGAGTTTTCAATAAAATTTCCTATAAAGGAAATTTATGTTTTCATGGTTGCAGTTGTTAATAAATCACAGTTACAATGTATATACAGCTATATTTTCATGGTGTTTGCCATTTCAAAATACATTACAATATCATTATTAATTATTGTATATAATGATCAATATAAAATGACTGACTCAGGTTCAGTGACTTTGTACATGGGATTATATTAGTCATAAGAATTGTTTTAACAATTAAAAAAAGACAAAAAGACAAGCTGCAGCTTAAAATATTAAACAAATTGTGCATATGTTAAGACTTTTAATTATCTTCAAATTGATAGACACACACCTCGCCCCTTGACCTCAAAATGTTCAAAACTCAAGTGGAACCATGTGCCACATTCTGGGTACATTTAATAACAGATAAATTTCAGACAATGACTGTGCTCTAAATTGTACTATAGCAAATTCTGTTATGAAGGACTATGATGTAATTATATCAAAAAATATACTCTCTCCATCCCAATGACTTATATGTTGGAATGGGGAATGGAACCCCCCAGAAAAAAATATTAAATATTTTATTGTTCTATTAATTATTATGAACCCCACCCCCCAGAAAAAAATAGTCTCTAAGGAAA